TTTGTAGGTGCACTTTTGTTTAAAAAAAATCGTCATCATTATCATTTCAAGAATATGATAATAATTTATAATATATCAAATATATTTATCGTTATTTTTTATTAATTATAATTAAATTCTTAACATTGAACTTTATTACGTATCAAGACTAGTGCTATTGAAGCAAATAAAAATCTTTATAAATTAATTTATGAAATCCCAACGAACAACAACAACAACAAACCATCCTCAAATTCTTCATCGAATCCTACTGCTACCAATACTACCAGTAGCAGTCCATCTATACTACCCAGAGGTCATAATAATAATAAAGATTTACAAGTAATAAAAAAACTATCCTTCATTCAAGAACATGATGATCCATTTGATTATCAAGCAACTGTTGATGCATTAGTACATCAATTTCTTGATGATCATGAAGAAACTAGAATTGCAAGCTTTGATTGGCTTTTAATGCTACATAAAAAAGCACCTAAAAAGGTGAAAAATCATTGCATTTAAAATTATATATATTTATTATATAAAGATATTAATGGACAAATTTCCGGAACGCACATTAAAAAGTCTAACAGCAATTTCACAACATAACATGGCTGAATCTAATAAAGCCCGTGCTGACGGTGATCCTAATTGGTAAAGTTTATAATTAATAACTATTTTTAATAAAGATTTCTTTTAATTTATAAATAAATAAAACTTTATTTTTCCTAGGTGGCAAATTCATGAAGCATGTTTAAAAGCAATCGGGTTTGTTTCTAATGAACTAATATCCGCATTAAATGATAAAAATTTAAATATTGGAATAAATCTTGGCATATTATTTGAACAAATAATACATCAAATTTTAAATGAGCCAGGTGTGTTTCTTTTTTTTCTTGAGATTATTATTTTTATATAAATATAATCTTTTTAAAAAACATTTATAATATATATATATATATATATATATAGAAGGATTTCCATTTCTTAGAGGACGTGCATTTGTTTTCGCAAGCCAATTTGCATCAGTTTTACCTGGAGAGTTAACATCAGGTTTTATTAAAGCTGCTATTGAAGCGATTAAAGATCCTGACGGTACTATTCCTGTAAAAGTATCCGCTTTACGTGCATTAAAAAGGTAATAATTATATTTACATAAATATTATATAAACAAATATTTAACAAAAAGTATTTTATTCTGAAAATAAATAAAATAGTTTTTGTCGAAATTTAAATGAACAATATGTTCTACCATTTCAAGGAACCATTATTGAATGTGTAGCAAATCTTATTAATGTGACAACAGAAGATTTCCTATTATTAGTATTGGAAACACTTGAAAGAGCTATTAAAGTAATATATATATATATATATATATATATATACACATCTCGTATATATGTATTCTATATATTTTTATAAAGTTTGATGGCTGGAGGTCTGAAAACTCACACGTTTTAGTTTAAAATTAATGTCTTCATTTTTTATTAGATAAATAGGGATGTAATATTTCAATATGAGGGTTTGATAGGACCAATGGTGGTTGACGTTTGGCAAAAATTTCCTTCAGGTATAAATTTTATTTTTTATTTTTTTAAAAGCTAAATTCTTTATTTTAACTAATTTAACTATTTATGATAATAGAACATCTTGTTATGTCGGCGGTAAATTCGATTTCTGAAACTTTATCAATTAATTCAACATTTATAGAAAGAGCTTTACCTGCCTTGGCCAATATAATAATGAATCCTACAATTGATTCATCACATACTGAAGTAAAAAAAATATTTTTAAAAATAAATTTGTACAAATTTAAAAAAAACTTTTACAAACAATAATAAAATTTTTTCATAAAGTCTGCTATAGATTTAATAACAAGT